GAGGAAAAGCAAGCTCTTTCTTCTCTCATTATACTCCCCGCTGGGATGTATATACTAGTAGTTTAAACGTGGCCTGCTGCTGAAACTAAAAAGGAATTTCTAAAACACGTGAGAGGAGGCCATAGATGGGTACAGGTCACCATGGGCCAGCATTCAGAAGGATGTGATTACTGCTAGAGTTTGGAATGATGCCTGTGTGAATGGCCTCATAAGCTTTGGGATGAAGCACTTGGTGAAAAGCTGCCCCAGGCCACTTAGGTATGTCCCTTTGGGAGAAGGGCACTGTCCACTCTTGGCTGTCTTCCTTAGGACTTACTCCAAGATCCCCCATGGAGAAAGTGAGAAGCTAGAGAACTTACTGTCTTACCTCAGTGGAGAAGTCTCATCTAACCAACTCACTTGCCATGGCCAACTAGAGAAGGAACAATTGCTGCTTGTCCACCTGTCACCACCAAGAGACCTCACAGGCTAAAATGCATGAGTGCTTAGTACACCCATAAAAGGTTCACAAATCATCAAAGAGTATTTTGAGTGTTTTAAGAGGACATAGTAGCTTGAAGTGAATTTGAGAAAACAAAGTTTGCGAGTAAATAATATGAAGGAGTTGAAAAACGAATGGAAATATTATTAAGTAAGAGTAAGGGCTTTGTAGACGTTCATGGCATGAGCTCCTCAGCATAGATTTTGTTTTTTCAAAGCTTTTTGTGTCATCAACTAGCCACAATCAGAGGATGACGTTGCTTGATAGTTGACATATTAGTGATTCCGCAAACATTTTAATTTTCAAGCTTAATCCATAATTATTATCATTTTTATAAGCTAAACATAAGACGTAAAGAATGTGAATTTACAATATATATTCAGGCAGAAAGTAAAAGCAATGCCCTAGGCAATAATCAGATTCCTTATCAATAAAATGGATGATATCATAATAATATCTGCTTCACATTGTTACCGTATGTGGTTAAATATATGTATGTCTTTTTAAAATAAATTACATGACATGGTTGGTCAATTATTTCGTAGGTTTCAATGCTGTCAAACACATTAATCTTTTCAATTCTATGTAGCCCTCATTTGTTATATAATGCTATTTGATGAGATAGAACTTTTTTCTTTCCAATAGTAAATCATTTATACATACAAAATAGTATTATATAACATATATGTAATGTGTAAAGAAAAAATAAAATGTACATCACATAACCCCTCACCTGCCAGCTTAAGAAATAAAACAAGTTTAGTATTTTTGAGATATATATATGCATTTTTATACACGTACACACTGAAGTCAACAGCAAGATTAACAAGTGAGTTTAATCTACTGGATAGATATGTGTATGTTATACGCAATTAAGTTGATCATTGTCATGTACAAACTAAAATGAATGCTTTTTAATAGTAGCATTTTTAATACTTACCCTCTGTAGTAATGCTTTTTAATCTCAGTTCTATATCAGCTTTTGTTTGTCTGCTTGTCTGTTTCTGTTAATATTCCCTAGGTTACCTTTTTTCTATCCTTTTATTTCAAACATTCTGTGCCTTTTTATTTTGGGTATATCTCTTCAAAACTTCATTTAGCTAGATTTGTAAAATCTAATGTGATGATCTTTGTATTTGATGATGCTGCTTGTGACGTGTAACACTTGTGATTCCTCATGTGTTAGTTTTTTTTACCATCTCCTATTGTAATATTTAATTGTTCTGCTTTGTCTATGTTTATATATTTATTTATTTTAATTCTTATCTTCTTTTGGATTAACTTTTTTCTCATTCCATATTTTTTCTGCTACTGGTTTGGATATCATGCACTGTATTTCAGTTATTTTTGGTGAATACCTAACTCAAATTTTATTTTCAATCACGTGTACAAGAGTTAAAACTGAAGTTCTTGGTCAGTTTTAACAATTTTTATTATGCACTCTCTTTATGCTTAGAGTTTCTTTGGTTAGAGATATTTCCTTGCTCCTATTCCTTAATTGCTGAGCCTCAGTACACGTTCCTAGGCTTCTGCTTTAGAGATATGTTATTTTTCTGAATTACTGCTTCTCTTTCATTTTTGTCCTTTGAGAATTTTGCATACTTCCTCTCCAGCTCAAACATATATTATAAGCTATTATTTTAAATATTACACCCAGAATTTTTAGTGTTTTGTGAAGTAGGGTGTATTAGGATATTTTGTCCTCAATATGAACTTGTTTGTAAATTTTATGTTTTTTTCCTCAAAATGAGCTAAGAAAAATAATATGTATATGCATAAATTTTCCATTCAGCAAATATGTGTATTGGCTGCTACTAAGGAAGCGTATGTCTGAACTATTTGCTAAACTGTTCATTTCCAATACTGTTTACTGTTTGGTAGAAGAGAGGTTTTATGTACAGAAATAGTAAAAATACATAATAAAAATATTAGCTGGTCTATCAGTGACCCAAATGAAATGTTATGAGACTGCCGTAGAGTAAGGTTTTATCTCGGTGGTCAGTGCCCTGCATCTATATATCATGCAAAGGTTTCCTGAAATAGATTCCCTTTTGATTGAGCCGTATAAAATTCCTTTATGTTTGAATTTAAAAACACAAAGAAGCTTCAGTTTTCAAACCATTATATCTTAGCATAAAACATATACTAATCAGGAGTTGACAAACTGCTGTATGGGCAAAATCTAGACTATCATCTATTTTTGTAAATAAAGTTTCATTGGAGCATATTCACATTCATTCATTTACATACTATCTGTGGCTACTTTCCTACTGCAGCAGAATTGAGCAGTTGCAAAAGTAACTACACGACCCTCAAAGTATAAAATATTTACAATCTGATCTTTTTCTGAAAAGTTTGCCAACACCCAAACTGCATTATGTTCTATATTTTGGAATAAGTTTATAGGGAAACTTTTTCCTTAGCCTGGCTTTCTCCTTCTCATTTATATTTACTTAAATATATTTTATGTGGTGGTTCTCACAATAAATATTTATTATGCACTCTCTTTATGCTTAGAGTTTCTTTGATTAGAGGTATTTCCTTGCTCCTATTCCTTAATAATTATTTTCTTTGGTGGAAGAAGATTGCCAGTGCCATTTTGCATGATAACTTTTGAAATAACAAATGTCCATACTTGTTTTCTACCAACTTGACCCTAGATTAATTATAATTAAAGTATAAAAAATTGAATGTATTAAATACTCTTCAATAAATTCACCAGATAATCTTGCAGTCATTAAATGAAATATCACATATATTCCTTTATGAAGGGAAATTAGCTCACCTTTACATTGGGAAATATTTCACATCCTAAACTAGACTCTTATATGCCGGTGCTTGGATTTTTGCTTTAACTATTGGAACTAAACAGAAAAGGTGTCAAGTGGCAAAGCAGGAAAGGAATTTGAGAATTTTTAAAGTAATCAAAGAAGTTCTGCTTAAAAGCTATTAAGATTAAAAGAAAATATAGTGAAATCTCAGTACCTCAAACACTGCAGTACCTGGACCTAAGTTATTTGATTCTATTTCCAGGGAGTATCAGTTCCCCACAGTTATCTTAGATGGAGAACATCGAACTGACTGCTGAAATAACAATAGCATCTGTGTATTCTGTGTCCTAAGGAATACTCAAATCCAGAAAACTGGCTCAGATACCCAGATGAATTTGAGCAAGAGTTCTTCTTTTGGCGAAATAGCCAATGACTATTGGCTAGGCTTAAGACAACCCTCAGTTCTCATTTTCAAAATCAAGACATCCTTTCACTGGGGGATTCACTGGATGTCCTTGTGTTCTATTTATAGTGATTTAAGATTGGAATTTGAACTGATGGCAATGGGAGGAGACTTTAATTACATTAAATGCGAACATTCAAATGGGAAGTTTCACTAGATAGCTTTAGTTGTCCCCACAGTCAATAGTTAATCAGGAGTGGTTGCTAGCAAGCTTCATGGATATTACCTGATTAAGATAATGAAAAACTGGACTATGTAAAAATCTGCATATCTACAAGGTAGGATTTAGAATTTTTAATGTAAACTGGAAGAACTGGGAGCTCAAATATAATGGATAAGCTAACATTCTGTGTACTGTACTAAATTAGATACTTGATGCCAAATAGATAAGTAGCCTTCAGGAATGGGGGCAAAGGAAGCTATTTTGTAGAAGACAGATTGTGCAGCAACATAGTCTAAAACAATATTTTTTTGTATTAGCTATATTTATTATTTTGTTCTCCTGAAAGGATTTTAGTATATTATCCAGATTTATCAGCATAACAATTACAAATGTTTTTTCAGGGTGTTACTTTTCCAGATCACTAATACTGATTTAGAAAAGGCATAATTGATTCCATTTCAGAGACAACATTATCTAAACTTTTCTTATAATTCCAACAGGACAGGCTATTCTATCATATTCTAAATTTAATACTGAATATCATTCAAAAATGTTTGTCACAGTAAATTGATTCCATGAGCCAGTATTTGAGCATGATTTTTAAAGTATGCATTATGCTCAAATACTGGCTCATGGAATCAATTTACTGTGACAAATTTATTTTTGAATGATATTCAGTATTAAATTTAGAATATGTTAGAAAATATTAGAGTACATCATATGTATGTAGGCTAAATATTTTGTGTAATTTTTGTTTCAGTTATATGCACACGTGATTGTAGTTGTAAAGTGTTGAGCTCTCAGTTAAAATATTTTTAAAAATACGAAAGAAACAGAGGCATGGAGTAGATACTAGAATTTCACCTCTGGGGACAAACAGTGCTTATATAGATTCTGCATACACATGGTTCAGTGCTAAAAAGCAAAACTGGGATTATGGAATCATGCTAATACATATCCTACGTTTGACGGTACGGTTAGTGGGGTAAATAGCTTTGTATGTTTTGCCTTAGTTCAAATAGCTATTCTTCCTTTTTGTTAGGAAAAATTTCTTGTTTTGTTTGTTCTTGTTTTTGTCTCCCATCATTTACTTAGTTTGCTACCATTTTCTCTTTTGCCTAGGAGATTGCATCAACAGTTTGAAAGCTATAAGGAACAAGTGAGAAAAATAGGGGAAGAAGCACGGCGTTACCAGGGCGAGCACAAAGATGATGCTCCAACCTGTGGAATCTGTCATAAAACAAAGTTTGCTGATGGGTGCGGCCATCTTTGCTCCTACTGTCGCACCAAGTTCTGTGCACGCTGCGGAGGCCGTGTGTCTCTACGGTCGAGCAACGTGAGTATTCCATGAACATAAGGGGAGCTGTGAATGTGGATAAAAATCATATGCCTTCCAGGAATGAGAACACATACATCTTAGAAAGCAGGCATGTGTATAAATATACACATTAATATGAACCTCCCTCATTTTGTTCATGTTCTTAGTGGAATATTGGTGAAAATAATTCCTAAAATCATACTTTATGTGTGTTTCTCAATAGATGATTCCAATTCAAAACCAACAGATTACCTATGAGAATACATTTATTTTTTTAAAAAATATAGTTAATGTAGATTTAATATTATCATGAATTATAAAACTCTTGAAAGTTATAACCAGTTCTTTTCAAAAAGTTAACTACTTTTAATTTCTGTAATGTTAGTGTTCAGATTGAATGCACGCAAAATTCCAAATAACTGAATGTCTTATATTAAGCAAGGATTAGCCTCTTTGAGAGTAAATTCAGATTTACTGACATGTTAAAGAAATAACTAGTGTCGCAGTTATCTCATGGAAATTGTTTAGATATTTGAAGACTATGTCAAACTAGACCTTTTCTAAATTTTGAGATTTGCACTTCTCATTTTCTTCTCTATCAGATATATTCTCACCTGATGATGTTCTCTTATTTGCCTTAAATAAGAGCTACTCCTGTTATGCCAGTACTTTAAATAAATGCAATTTTTGAAGATTTAAGATGCTAATATGGTAGGAACCAATATTATTATTTATGAAACACTAGAGTAATTCTAATAAATATTTAGTTATATTTTAATGTTGTACTTTTATCATATTATCTAAAATAGTGCAGTATAATTATTTATAGGGAAATCTGGGTGAATTTTCTTTGATATAGACCTGCAGCTTAATGTGGAACGGTTACAATTATGTAGCTAAAAAATTCCCAGTGTTCCTGTAAAGAATTTGTGACATTATCTAATCATTAATAGATTATAATATAATACTAAGTGATGTTTAAAAATAACATGAAATTTTTAAGCCCTCTTGATATTTTCCTAAGTTGCACATTATGGTTAAAATTAAAACAAATCTCTAAATCAACATTGTATTCTTTGGTAGTCTAGTTAAGCTATAAGTCAGATATTCTAAGATTTATTCCAGTGAATTTAAGGCACTGAGTATGATGAATAATCTTTATTTTATTTTATTTTATTTTATTAGACAGAGTCTTACTCTGTCACCCAGGTTGGAGTGCAGTGGCACTTGGCTCACTGCAACCTCTACCTCCAGGGTTGAAGTGATTCTCCCACCTCAGCCTCCCAAGTAGCTGGGATTACAGGTGCCCATTCCCTGTAATAAATTCTGTATTTTTAGTAGAGACAGGGTTTCTCCATATTGACCACGCTGATCTTGAACTCCTGACCTCAGGTGATCTGCCCGCCTCGGCCTCCCAAAGTGTTGGGATTACAGGTGTGAGGCACCGCACCTGGCTGACCAATATATCTTATACTTTAAGATGAGACTGTTACTATCTCTGTGGCTTAGGAAGATAATGAACTTCTCTGAACAGTTTCTTTACCTATGAAAACTGGACAGTAATATTTACCTTGTATGATTGTGATGAAAATTAAATAAAAATAATTAAAATATAGGTCTTTATAATATCTATATTTAATCTTTCTTTAGGGTCCCATTCTTATGACTGTGTAAGTTTTCTTTTTCTCTCCTCAGTAATTTTTTGCAGGAAATCCTCACATGCCACCTTATAGGCTTTCTAAAACAAGCTTGGATATTAAGGTGGTATCTGGCCCATAGAAAGTACACAAGATCTATTTGTTAACTTCTCCTTCTATGGTGATCTTTAATACACTATACTGAAATAAATTCTTACAGGTAAAACTTGGAGGCAACATCAAAATACTTAACAACCCATGTGGTAAGGACACTGTTCAGTTTGAAAATATACTGGCAGTGAATAATGAGGCGCAGATCAGCTGACTGCTAGTGCTAGCTAAGCACCTATAACTGTTAAATGCTTTTAACTTCCAGTTATAGGTTTGAGACAAGCCAATAGCAATAAAGTTAATGATTGATATATTAAAGATATCAGGTTTTAAAAAGGAGAGGGTGTTTAAAGAAAATTGAGCTAGGAGGTACTTAGGCTTTGGAGAGGACACTCAGGCCTAGTGTAGTTCAACTTTACTAAACTCAACCAATCTTGGAAAAAATATTTAAAGGAACAAAATAAAAGAAGGCACACATCTTAAGAGATTTCAGTTGGAGCACAAGACAAAAACATTGTATAAAGTTGTTTTTTTCCTATGACATAATGTTAAAATGTGTATCACAGTTATTGTCTGTGGAATAATTTATAGCTAAAATAGTCAACATACTTGTCTAACCATATTTATTTATTACAAATATTTCTCATTCTTAGATTTTCCCAAATTGTGACTATGAATATTTTAACAATAATTTGACAAAATTATTCATACAATTTCATGCATTTTAATAAACTATTTTTCAATTATAGGTAGGCTATGTGTGGTAGTGAATTAACCTTCTTTATGAAGAATATTTTAAATCTAGATTTACTAATCCAAGTTGTCAAAATTTGGGAAATTATTGTGCCTAACTCTTGTATCTAACATATAGCAGGATGCATAATGTGTGCATTTTCAATGAAGGATTAACAATGACTGTTTTTTTAGGTAGAGTAAACAGTTACTTTTCAAAATAGCTGTGCTTTAATACTTTGAAGAAACACATAATTGTTTTCTTAAAACCAATCTATTAATACATGGCTCATTTTTGTTTTTCTCTTCTTTTTCTTCTTTCTCTACTCTGCTTCCTTGGATGCTTTCCCAAAGGAGGACAAAGTGGTTAGAATACATACCTTCTTTTCTATCATTTGTTATTGTATTGTTGTCAACTTTATTAAGTGAATGTTGCACCTAGTGTTGTAGATAACTATATTTTACAAAGAAATTATATACAAAGAAGAGCTCATATCCAGTTATCATGAAAACAATGAACATTTAGGAGAATTACAGAATTTGATATTAATAGATAAAGTCTGGATAATTTGAGTTCATGATGACAGTGAAACTTTAATATAATTTATATCACTGAAAGCTCATTCATCTGCTTAACTCTGAGTTTTGATGACATCTGCTTTCAGAAACAATAAATTCTAATGGGCTCTACCTTTTTCAGCATGCAAAGGCAGATAATTTGAAACTTTATTGCAGAAGGAATGGAATACACTTAGTAGAGAGAATGGATCAATTCAAGTAAAGAGGCCAAAGTATAATTATTTTTCTATAGAACACAAGTAGTGGAGTTGTCATATTGAACCACATTTTGCCTTTATCTTCTCCCATGCATATGAATAACTTCTTAGAAAAGTAAAAGGTCACTTTTAACTCTTATCAACTGTAGAAACCACAAAGGCTTTTTGTGCCTGGGAAGATAGGCTCCAAGTAGAATCTTTAGTCAGCCTTTCCTTTGTATACATACCATACACCTTCATTTGGTATAAATTACAACTTCCTCACAGCTCATTAATCTACCAATATGAGACTGAAACAATGAGTCTTTCAGGTTCAATACATCAACTGAGCTGCCTTTGTTCAAAAATTTTAAAGCTTATATGTAACACTGCAGTGCATAATTAGCAAGCATGACGTTAAATTGAACATTAATCTGTGTTTTTAAACTTATGCTAGTATATTTTCATTGATTTTTTCCTATGACAAAGAAATAGAGTCGAAAAATTATATAGGATAATCTATTTTTGCTATTTATTTTTGCCTGTACCATTGATTGTATGTGGAATAATTTTAGGGGCTATTACTATAATGCCAATTTCATCAACATTATTACTTTTGATGAGTCTACAGTCAAAACATGAATAATTTTAAGTTCCTTTAAAGAGTAAAGTGTAAGTAAATAATGCTGATGTTTAGGCAGATTTGATGATAAGATTTAAACTACTCTCCTGTAGGGCTGGCCAGACTCACTGTCCCTTTGACAGCACTTCCAATAATGGTAGATTATTTGTGATTATTATGATTATAGTATAATGAGAATACAGGTGGATTTTGTGGACTCAAACCAAAAGTAGAGTGGAAAGACCTGTAAAATATAATCACTCAATTATTTTCTTCACTTTGGTTAGAATGCATATATCTATCACATTATTTTTAAGTGCTGTATCATAATTTCTTTAAAACCCATTTTAGCCTGTTGAAGCAGTTCAATGAATGGCCTTTCTAGTCAAGGGAAACTGAAGCCACATTTTGTCTTAGCCATGCCAAAGAGAATAACTGACTATTAAATGAAATACTTCATTGCCAGTTCTTTCCCTATTCCTCTGAGCTGTTTTATTTTTAGTAGAGAAATAATAATTTACATGTGTGTGGTATTGGTATGGGTAGAAAGGGAAGGGAGATAAGAGTGAATAAAACTTTTCTAAAAATCTTCATCTTGATCAATATAATAATAATGAATTCTACTTGATCTGTTAAATTGGTGAAGAAATGTGATTAAAATACTGGAGTAGGCCGGGCGCGGTGGCTCAAGCCTGTAATCCCAGCACTTTGGGAGGCCGAGGCGGGTGGATCACGAGATCAAGAGATCGAGACCATCCTGGTCAACATGGTGAAACCCTGTCTCTACTAAAAATACAAAAAATTAGCTGGGCATGGTGGCGTGTGCCTGTAATCCCAGCTACTCAGGAGGCTGAGGCAGGAGAATTGCCTGAACCCAGGAGGCGGAGGTTGC